TGCCCTAAGAAGATTAAATATTAGTAAATAAATAAAAACATCTACATAAGATAATAAACCCAAATGCATAAACCCTTAACCCATAAATATCAATAAAAGTACTATAGAAATTGTACAAAAAAATAGTATCTTCGTAAGTCATCCTCCTAAGTTTATGGGCACGTTCGACGGCTAAAATTAATTACTTTTAGATCGAATTCAGCTCAACTTTAGTTTTTGAACTTCGAAACGATCATTGCATTGAGTCAATTTTTTAAAATCCTCATTTCCTTTTCACATCTCATAAATTATGAATTTTGTTATTTCAGACATTTTTTCATCATAACTTTTGAAAAACTCACAATCTTAATTCTTAAAATTAGGGCAACTAAAAAACCTTCTTCCTGCATTTTTTTCTTTTCTAAGTTGTTCACATAGGGTATTTCAAACTACATTTACAACCAGAGACAGAGCTCTGTTGCGGCCCCGACCCTTGTAGAAATTTTATATATCCGATCAATTTTGGTTTAATATTATTTTGGTTCATATAAAAATAAGTATTCGAATTAAAAATATAAGAATTTATTAAATATTTAATTAAGTAGGGGCCGAACTAAAAAAGGATAATCTCATATTCTCAAATATTTTAGTCTAATAACAATTCAGGTCATTGTAAGTTTAAATATTATTCAAATAAGCATTGTCTTTTGAATTTTGAGTTTAAATACATATTAAGTCATTGTATTTTAAAAAAAAAAATCCAATATTTCAGCCTCTTCTATTATTTAATCTTGGCTCTGTCCCTCCTTACAACACATGCCATTTCCATCATATTCCCAAGAAAATGTTGAATGGATATTTTTCAAATGGCTTTAGTAGATGAGCTCGCCGAATTTGTTATACTATTGAAAATATTTTAAATACTCCATTGAAAGAAAAGTTTCATTAAAAAATTTATTTGGGTATTCTGATTATATGAGAAATTTATGGGGGAAAAATTCTTGATAGATAAGAGAAGATTAGATTAGAGATAAAAGTGTATTTTTTTCATTGAAAGCTTGAGAAATGATACATAAACTTACTCAAATCTTACAATGTCCAACACCAAGATGATACCGTGTGATTGCTCTTCAAAAATCATCGAACAAAACGAAAGAAGTTGCTCTTCAAAATACGATACCACTGAGATATTTTTTTAGGGAAGTGGAGAGATTTAGGTTCTTTAATATGGTGTGGGTAAAATCTTTCAATTTATTTTCTTATTTTATTAATTTCCAACTCATCCAAGAAAACCTAATCAGCGTTGAGTCAATATTAAATAGACAAAGGTGGCTCAGCTTGATGTGCCACGTCAATAGAAATTAATAGTCTTATTAGTCAATGACGAAAAACGTTGGTCAAAGGACTACATTGAGTTTTTTTAGTTGGTGGGACACATTGAGTGCAAAAATAAGTCGATGACCACATTGATTGTAACCCTCTAGACCTAGCCTATGTGTTACGACGAGATCTAGAGAATTGCAATAAAATTTCCAAAACTACTTTCGATAATTTAAAATTGTATTATAAGCAATATATAACAAAAAGAACACATAGTTAAAAACGATAAAAATTTCATCGAGTAAATATCAATCCGTCAGTGACTGAATAAAATAAAATACATCATAATTTGTATCGAGTGAAAATAATAAGCATAAGTATTTCAAAAATAAGGGCACATGTCACTATAAATAAAGCAGTTCGGAAGATAGAAACTGTAACACCCCAAATTTAATGAAATTAGGGACTAAATTGAAAGTTTTGGGACCTTATAGCCTAGATTTGAACTTTTAGGGAGTATAGGGACTAAACTTGAAATTATTCCATTTTTCTGGTCAGTGAAAACAAAATAAGTTAAAATCAAAAATAAAAAACCCCTCGATATAGAGCAAGTCAACCTCAAAATTATCCCTAAATTATTTACCCTAGCTGTCGTAGCCCCTGCCAAATCAGCGTCGTTCGACAATAGTTGGAGCGCGCTGTCACCCTTAGCTGACTCGCCGTCGACTGGCGACCATAGGCCAAGCATCCCCGTAGCGTGATTCAATGTCAATTGGAAAAAATCGAAGCTTAAATCACCGCCGAAATCCCTCACCCCACCGCTTGGTTTTTCGGCGATTCTGGTCACTTCGACCATCGTCGTGCCTCACTGCCGCTACCATTTTTCACTGGCCATTCCCAACCAAAAACCAAGGCCCTCTTCATCGTAAATCATCATCGTTAGCTGTAAAAAAACCTCGATCGTTCGTGTAACACCCCAAACCCGTATTCGACCCGAATACGAATTCGAGATGTCACATTACCCTTTCAAATCATGTACTTATTTAAAATAGAGGAAACATTTAAACATACTAAATAATTTACATATATTAACTCACAAACTTTTACAAACTGTTAAGAGATTATACAATTTACTCTTTTAAATACATGCCAACACTACATAATACAAAAGGGACACCTACTGTAAATTTTTCTGATCTGATCTTTGCTGAAGTTATGTTGTCTCCGTTGCCTATCTTCTCTTTAGAACTTCTCGGATCTTACGTGTGAAACACTAATTCTTCACTAAACTTTACTCTATTTCCTATTTCACTCACTATATTTTCAATTTTTCCAATTTCATCACTAAACTTTCGAATTGTTCCGATTTTACTCACTTTAAATTATTTTATTAGTATTTTCATATGACATTTATTATTATCATTAAAATATAAAATAAAAACAAACGGTGGTCATCCATTGTTCGACGGCATTGGATGCCATCGTCGACCGGTGTAGATGGTGGCCATTCGGACCCAGATTTTATAGGTGTCTTCTCCACTGCCCCCTAAGTCCGAATTTGGTGGTATTTTCATCGAAAAACATCTCAAAACCCGTGAATCTCGACGAAAATATTTTGGTTTCCTCACTTTTGACCTCTAATTCGTCGACTTCAGAGCAAAGTCTAACAAAATGGAGGTCGAATTTAGACTCAGAGAGTCGAGGTGAAGTGACCCGTAAAATTTGGACCAAAACGACCACTATCTACGCCAGTCGATGATGGCGTCCAACGCCGGCGAATAGTGGACGACCACCATCGATTTTTATTTTATGTTTTAAATTATTTGTATGTTAAATAAAAAAAAATGTCATGACATACAAAAATAATAATAAAATAATTTAGAGTGAGCAAAATATGAACAATCCCAAAGTTCAATGAAGAAATTGGTAAAATTGAAAGTATGGTGAATGAAATAGGAGAGTAAAGTATGTGAGGAATGGTGTATTTTACCCTTTTACAAATACAACAAATTAGAAAAGGCTTAATATACAAAAGTATCCAAATTATATTTTTTTCTTAAGTGTCTAAATTTTTTTCGGTCAATGTAGGTTTCTAGAGTTACAAACGTTACCATTTTAAGTGTCTCAGTCATAACGGTCATTAAAAAATAATGTTATCTAACACGTGTCGTGTTTATATTTTCTTGAAAATTTTATTTTAAAAAACTTAAAATTTATAATAAAAATCTAAATTTATTTAAAATTACAAAAACAACCCTAAAATCTTAAAATTTTTAATTTCAATCTTCATTTCTCGCCGTAGCCGGCCACCGTCTCTGTCATCGTCTATCCACTGACCTGCCATCTCCTTTAACGTCACCTGTCGTCACCTTAATCCCTAAATTTAAATCCATAAATTTTAAATAACCGAATCCCTAATATTTAATCTTTCCCCATCGACTGCTTTCCTTGAGTTGTAAATTTCTCACCGGATGATTATACCCTTTCAAGGTGCACATGCATATTTAGAGTTTGGCTGTTTCAATTTCATGCTTTGGCTGTTTTAAATCCCTAGTATTTAATACAGGGTTTGCAGTTCAATTTAATGGTTTGGTTGTTTCTCAATAAGAAGATTTGCTAGGAATCGGACGATTAGGGAGAGGCAAGGTGATGATCAGTCAGTAGGTGGTGACGGAGGTGCTCCTTTGACAGCAACGATGGCGGCCGGAAAATATAAAGGGTTGCGTTGGGTTACGTGAGTTTTTATTATAAATTTTGGGATATGTTTTGGGAAATAGGAAAATGGGAAGAAATTAAAGCATTAAAATGGTTTTTGTAAATAATATCATTATTTTTTAAATAAAAATTTAAAAAATATAAATGCGACATGTATCACTTAACAAATTTTTTAACGTCCATAATGGCCGAGACACCTAAAATGATAGCGTTTGTAACATTAAATACCTATATTAATCGAAAAATGTTTAGACACCTAATTAAGTGGAAAATAGTTATAATTTATGTATTTTTTATAATTAAGCTAATAAAGTATTAACATCTATCGCCCATCAAGTGACTTAAGTAGTAAAAAAGAATGTTATTCTTTTTAGAGGCTACTTGTTCCAGCAGCTCGTCATCTAAAGATATATTATAAAACAAAATAAATATAAATTATAAAGATTGATAATCAGCCAAAGATCACATTAAAAACACACCAGAACAAAATATTAATATCTACATTAATTTAAAAAAAATTAAGTATTTAAATAAAAAAAATGTATAGTTTAGATATTTTTATAATTAAACTAATAAAAGATCAATCACCCATCAAGTAGTTAATTGTAAATAAAAATGTTACTTTTTTAATAATTTTGAATTAGAACAGTTGTACTTTTTACAATATATATTATAAAAATTAACATCTATCGCCTAAGTAGTTTGAGCAGAGCAGCTGTTTGTATGTAAGATATATGATAAAACAAAATAAGTTGAAACTGGATCGGTATCAAGCCAAAGACCACATTAAAAACACACCAAAACATTAAAAACAAAATCAACATCTATCAGAATATTGTAAAACCTTCCGGCTCCACATTATGTGTAAAAAATCCCTATTAATTGAAATTATAAATATCGAAAGACCACAATAATATACATTAATACGTCTCATTGTATGACAAACAAAATAAAATATACAAACAGCTCCAACTAGAAAGATCACAACAACTGCTAATTTTTGCAACACATTTATTTTGTTGTTGAACAAATAATGCCTTTTTTCATATTCTGAGAAGGAAAATGCTGAGCTCAGGGCCTCCATTGTTATCCGGGTTCAACATGTAAAACGCTTCCGAGTCACGACTCCCCACCACTCGTTCAAACTTGGCTCTCATATACAACAACTCACCTTCGCTTCCACCACCTTTCCCTCCATCGTCGACCACCGGAATCACTCCGGCTCCCGCCGACACGCTTTGCACGGTGCTCAGCACGTGCCAGTCAGATTCCGTGCACGAACGTGTCGCCGCGTACCCGCTCTTCCTGCCGTTACAATACATAGTCCACATAGGCTCATGGAACAACTTCCCTGTTCGACCGGCAGCCTTCTCACTCTCGAGTGCAATCCGGACCAAGCCGGATGACATTTCCTTGACCAAACTAGCCGTTGACATGGCCAGTTCGAGGAGCAAAACCGGTTCGGATCGAGGATCATCCTGGACGGCAAAGCTGACGTGACCTCGACGGTGGCCGAAGAGAGTTCCGGTAACTTTACGGCCAAGGGAAGAGGTTATAGTGAGGTGTGTTGGGAGACTCAAAAACTTGCAAGGAGCTGGGATTAAAGTGGGAAAAGCTATGATCTTGAGAAGGGACCGAAGGAGTGAAGAGAAGCCGAAGGAGTTAACATGACGGAGACGGTGAACGGAAGGAGAAGAAGAGGCAGACCTAGGAACAAGGAGTTTGTCTGAGATTTCTCCGTTTTCAGGGATCGTGAAGGAAGTTGATCTGGGAAACTTTGATGGGTTGATCTTGTTTCTTGAAGATTTGCAGTTGGAATTGTTGTAGGTGGTGGTGGTAGCCAGTTCCCGATGGTGTCTCATGGTAGAACAGAGGGAAGATTTTGATGGAGATGAAGAAAGGAGGTTTGGTTTGATTCAGTTAAGGGGGGTGACACAAGTGATGATGAGTGTCGAGAGGGTGGGCAATGTAAAGGGAAAATATGGCTGCTCGTGGATGATGATGATGATGCTCTTTCTTCCTTTTTCCTTACACGCTTGGCCACACACACTAACTATTTATATATACATAAACAGTATTATTTTCTTTTGGCATAATATCAAAAAATAGCACCTAACATTTACTAAAATACTCATTTTGACCCATATTTTTTTAAACGTTTAGCCCCCGACGTTTAACTTTGGGACAAAAAACTCTCTATAAATGAAAATCATTAGTTAACACATGATTAACGCTCCAAAATATGAACTTTTTTTAACCTAAAATAAAACGTTGAGGCCTAAAATGTCTCGAAAAAAAAGAATAAGAGACAAGTAATTATTTTGTCAAATGTTAGGTGTATTTTTACCCCTAAAATGAAATATTGTGGGTCAAAATGCTCCAAAAATAGAATAGGGAGGAAAATGACCATTTTGATAAACATTGATGTCTAATTTTAGAATTATTTCTTTTCTTTTCTACAACGTTAGCATCTTCCCAACACCACTATGAATAAGGATATACGTCAAATTTTAAGTCAAGGGATCAAATTTTAAAATTTTAAGATAGAACTAATTTATAAAATTTTAAAGAAATAAAATCAGATTATCTATAAAAAAATATTCAAAATATATAAATTTAAAATTTTTAACGAAACAATTATCTCCGTTTGTTTCTCTTATATCCATCCATGTCTACTAGTATCATCATCATCACTCTTGTTTTGTTTTCCCGTTCATCTCCACCCTTCATTGCATTTACTTCCACTATATGTATCCTAAAAGTTTGGTACTTTTCCAAATATTTAACTGTATATATCTAGATTTGAATATGGGATACGATACCTCTGTGTCCTTTTTGTTTATTATTTTATTTATTTTAGAACATATACATAGGTGACGGGTAGACACATTAAAATCGAATATTAAGAATATATAATATAGACCTTTTAAGGAAGAAAAATATATATATATATATATATATATATATATATCGACACACTTTTAAAATGCATTGTATCTCTCAACCAAAATTCATGTCATCGTCCGATTATTTATAGGAATGAATTTATCATTTTATGTTATTAGGTGAATTTTTAAAATTTTAATATTGAACAAATTTATAAAATTTGATGAGCGAAAACAAATTATCAATAAAAAATATAAAATTATATTTAAAATATATGATAATTTAAAATTATTAAGGGTCAATTGCCCCAGTCCGTCTGCTCGTCCCTCCCCTTAATCTATCTCAAGTTCTCCGTCTAAATAAAAAAGTTTAATCACACATTAAGAGATTGTTCATCTCATTCCCCACCGTATTTACCACTATAAACTATCACTTTACCTGATTAATCTATGGAATTCAATATATTAAAATGATGAATAAATTACGCGTTTAGTATCTAAATATTAGTTTTATTTCGTTTTAATATCTAAACTTTCATTTTTTTAAAATTATACCTAATGTTTAGTTTTTGTTTCATTTTAGTACCACGCCGTTAAAAGCATAACGGATGGGCTCGCTAGCCACCATGACTATAGTCACTTGTCGTCACATATGTCAATTGATGAAGCCCAAACTTTTTAGCCTTCACCATTTCGACCCCCTAAATGTGATTTTGGCCTCCGTTTCACCGGAAAACTCATCAATCTCCCAAATCGATGATGAACTCTTCGATTTCTTCATCTTCCGATCTCCATGGTCCACCATCTGATGGGCCTAAAACTGGACTATATTGGTCGACTCATCATTCTCTCATGGTCCACCGCTTAGATTGGTTGTCCGTCCACCAGAGCCATGTCACACTAGCTTGTCCGCTAAGTTTTTAACTACGGAGTACTAAAATGAAGCAAGAACTAAATGTGAAGTATAATTTTGAAAAGAATGAAAATTTAGGTACTAAAATGGATTAAAACTGATAGTTTAGGTACTAAATGTATAGTTTACCCTAGTTTGACATGTGTACCAATCAATTACTAAACCACACAATAAACAGTGAAAAACAGGAGTTTTGGTTATCCCACTGTCATATGAAGTGGTCTACATAACCAGCTGAGAAGACTGAAGACGCATAGAACTTGTCTTTACCATGTCTCCAATGGACATACTGTTTGTAAGGGTGTGAAAAAAGTCAGGTCAGAGGCCATTTTCACCTTTTTGCTTGGTCAATCCTTGTTCCTTATTCTTGATGAACTGGCGTAAGCTTTTACTATTCTTTATATATCTAATATGATCTTTTTATATTAATCTAAGGTGTATGATTTCATGTGTTCCTTATTCTTTATTATATATATATATATATGATTTTTTTATATATGAAAGTTTAAATAAATTTATTCATCTTAGTATCACATATCAAAATTCATCATTTAATTAAAATGTTAAATGCATATCATCATTTTTACTATTATTCTAAATTAAGAATTTCTCGAGACCAAAAGCTAGCCACCCACATATATAAAAGGCAAATGAGGATTCATGATGCGTAAATATATAGTATAATATAGAGTTAATTGTATCATATGACCTTATTTTAAATTGGTAAACATTTAAATGTTCTAAATTTATCTCTAAATTATAACTATCATTCTAAACTAGTCTTCAAATTTTTAAATATTCTAATTTTATCCTAAAGTATACATATATATTAATTACATCACTTGTTAATAAAATCGTTAGGCCAAGTTATATTGTTATGTGTTTGAAAAAAAAATTAGGTTAAATTATGGTTGAAACTAATTGCACATTTAGGTGGATTTGGGGATGAAATTGGGGCATTCAAAAAGTTTGGGGATCAATTTAGAAAGAGAGCCATATTTTAGGGACTAATTTAGAATGAGAATCATAATTTGAGGATGAAATTAGAATATCAAAAGTTTAAGAATCAATTTAAAATGAGGGTTATGATTTAATGACATATGATAAAATTAACTGTATGATACATATTAAAAAGAAACTAGATTTAGCAACAAAATATATATATATATATATATAAAGATTATAAATGTGTGGAACATGGCTATGTACATGAGACCAATGCAAAATAAGACTCTGCCAGCCGGAGGGCATTTGTCCTTATTCATCTCGAAACCTAAAGCCCTCACTTTTATATTCCATAAGCAAAATTAATAAAGTGACTGTCAATACTTCTTTTCGTCCTATTAGGATTCAAACTCTTAAAATTAGGATAGAATTTTACTAAGATTCAAACTCCTAAAAATAGGATAGAGTTCTACTATAATTTAAACTCCTAAATATAGGATCCACAAGCACTATAAATAGCCATTGTAACTCACTATCGTAACATACGATTTACAGACAAAATATAGAGGAAATCACGGAAAATACAAAGGCAAAGCTATTGTAAACGATTCGCAATTCGTTCAAGTGCACGTTATTTTTTGAAATTTGGTTCGAATAACCCAAAACGTGGGTTGCGCCGATGACAAAAAATGGGTGGGGTTTCGAAGTTTCGAACCTAGATCTACCCCGAGGCTTGTTCATTTTTTATCCCCCTAATGCGCAATATCAACGTTAATTGTCTTTCAAATTTGGCCTCAATCTTTATTTTTCTTTATATTAGTTCTTTTATTTATTGTATGGATATTTTTATTTATTTATTATTTACATTATTGTCATTATATAAATATATACGTATGTTTTTTAAATGATTTTCAATTGATTTTTTTACACTATATATTATTATTATATATACATATTTTTTATTTATTTATATTCATTTGGTTATTTTTTATATTATTATATATATATATATATATATATATATATATATATATATTAAATATTTTACTTATAAGCGTATTATTACCATATATATATATATTATAATTATCTTTATTTAGTTTTTTTTACTTTATCATTATAGGTATATGTATGTTTAATAGTTTATTTATAAGCAATTATCATTATATGTATACTTTTATATTTGATTTATATATTTTTTTTTTATATTATATTTTCATATTACTATCATTATTGTTATGATTATTATTTTTCTATTTTACTCATTTATATATATATATATATATATATATTTAATATTTTCATTTATTTATTTATTTTTCCTTTTATTTTTATTTTTTTTACTTATTTTTATTCTTCATTTTTTTTTTCATTTATTCATTTTTTCCCTCTAACACATCTTATGACTTTTAAGGGTATTTTCGTTAATTAATCAGAGGTAAGTAATTCATGATCAAATTTTACCTTTTAATTTAAAATTACAATTTTCTTAATTAAGACAACTGTAAATTACATAGTACCGAAAGGCAGTTCAAGGGTGCTAATCCTTCATTGACCGTAACCGACTCCCGAGCCCGACATATTTCTGGTAAGACGCAGATCAGGTAAGATATAGGGTATCCGATCAACCCATTTATTTTTAAATAAATGATCGGTGGCGACTCCAATCCATATTTTTCAAGTGGAAGCCCAATTCTGGGGCCCAACCGAAAGATGGTTGCGATAGCTTGGCGACTCCGCTGAGGACAGGTAAGTGAGTCAGGCTAAGGTAATTTCAGTTGTCTTTTTAACGAAAATGGTAAGTTTAAATTTTAAGGTAACATTTCGATCCTTTTTTATATACTTTTGATTATATTTTCTGGTAAATAGTTGTACTAATCGTTTTCTCGTGATTTTATCCTTCAAATCTTTTTCATTTAAGGCTCTATACCTGAGCTCTAAACCTTGTCTTAAGTGGGGGTAAAAGTGACGCCTTCGTGTGAATTTATTCACCGTGCGGGCCTAGCAAGTAGCCTTCGGGATTCATATACCTTATGTCTTCGTGTGAATTTATTCACCGTGCGGGCATAAGGGAATGTGTCCTCTCGAGTTTAACTTAGTCCACACAAGCCTGTGATAGGTTTAGGACTAAGGGTATGGCAAGCCCAAGGGGACACCAGCAAGGAGAACTCGGGTA